GGGTGCAGAATAGAATATGAATAGGTTAGAGATCAAGGAGGGAGGAGGGAAGGAGATAAGTTTGAGAAACTGCACTCTAAACTTGTCAATGGATGGAACTCAAGAACTAAATATTAAATGCTCTCTCTTGAGTTGATGCATTTTCTTAGTTATACTTCATTTATTAACCAGCACAATATAGCTAGTACATATATAGTACACACAGATATACCAGTATATTCATTACACACAGACATACAAATACAAATAGTACAGACAGACATATAGAACACACAGACATACAAGTATATATATACACATAACCATATTATTACATAGAGTACGCACAGACATACCAGTACACATAGAACACACAGACATACCAGTACACATAGAACACACAGACATACCAGTACACATAGAACACACAGACATACCAGTACGCATAGAACACACAGACATACCCGTACATATAGTACACACTGATATACCAGTACATATAGTACTATACAGTACATATAGTACATACCAATACATATAGAACACACAGGTATACTAGTAAATATAGCACGCACATACGTACCAGTACATATAGTACACACAGATATACCAGTACATATGTAAACACAGACATATCAGTACATAAAGAACACACTTACAGATATACCAGTACAAATAGAACACACAAACATACCAGTACATATAGTACACACCGACATACCAGTACACATAGAACACACAGATATACTAGTACATATAGCACACACATACATACCAGTACATATAGTACACACAGATATACCAGTGCATAAAGTACACAAAGGCATACCAGTACATATAGTGGACACAAATATATCAGTACATATAGTACACACAGATATACCAGTAAATATAATACGCACAGATATACCAGTACATATAGAACACATAGACATACCAGTACAAATAGAACACACAGATATACCAGTACATATAGTACACTCAGATATACCAATACATATAGTACACACAGATATACCAGTAAATATAGTACACACAGATATACCAGTACAGATAGAACACATAAACATAACAGTACATAGAGTGCGCACAGACATACCAGACTGACAGAAAGTCAAGCTTAAAGTATATATACAGTGTTAAGCCATAATATCAATATAATGAAGACGACTTTTTTATTTAAGTTTTTGTTGTTATCAAGCTTTTTTTACAAGTTTACAACAATTATAGAGAAGCCTTATAATTGACAGTTTCTCTTTGGTTTCATTCGGTTTGTGTATCAATGCTGTTTAAAAGCTTAATATAAAACAAAATCGAAATCGAAAGTCGTCTTCATTGTATTAATATAATCGCCTACCACCGTATATAGATATAGGATCGTTATGAGACGTGAAACATTATGTTTTGTATAATTCTTTTTGAATAAAATGTGAAGTTTATAAACTGAAATATATATAAATATATATATATACAGAGTTACCCAAAAGGATGAGACTTAAGAGACGATCTTACGAAATTTCTACTGTTTGTTTCCTTGTATGTATTCAATTCAACCTGGTAATCGTCATATTTGGAGAGTTTTAGATCGTCTTTTCTGTCTCATCCTTTGTAGGTAACCCTGTATATATGATATATCTTTGATATATTAACTTTTATATTATTGTCTAAGAGGGTTAACTCACGTGTCGTCTGATACAATTGAATAGATAGGGATGTAACGAAATTATTTCACAGTAAATAAAAAAAACATTAGAAATGTATCCCCTTTTCAAACATTATTAATTTTATAATCGATTTTTTCGAATTAAGTAATATTTCGGAACAGGACTAACAAATATAAATATATAAATTTATATACTACATTGTATATATAGTCGCGGAAGATTTTTATAAATGTCTGTTGTTTTAACTTCGTCTTGAAATTCAATAATTCTTCGAAAAGATGGACAAAAATTCGAAAATTCGATTTTTTTTCAAATGAAAAATGTAACTGACAAGAAAAAGGTTATATTAAAGTTCTTATCAATACTTAATAGAACTTTTTACATCTTCCTTTTTTACATCTTCCTTTTTTCTGCGTGCCAGTCTGCCAGAATATGGAGCTAATATACAATATATTTAGTTGATAAACGGCCTTTTATTCCTCCCTCCCTTGCCATTATTCATTCGAGGGCTTAACATCGTGACTTGGATAAGTTTTTGAGTAAATCTGAACAAATTTCAAGAATTCATTGTTGGAGTTCAGGTCTCTCCAGGCTTAATCCTTGCAGAGTCAATCCTTCAAGGATTTGAAAACAGTTCTTGACTCTAATCCAGTCCAACCTAGGGGACCTACAGGTTTATCAGAAACAGTCCAACCTAGTGGACCTACAGGTTTATTAGAAACAGTCCAACCTAGTGGACCTACAGGTTTATTAGAAACAGTCCAACCTAGTGGACCTACAGGTTTATCAGAAACAGTCCAACCTAGTGGACCTGCAGGTTTATCATGAACAGTCCAACCTAGTGGACCTACAGGTTTATCAGGAACAGTCCAACCTAGTGGACCTACAGGTTTATCTGAAACAATCCAACCTAGTGGACCTACAGGTTTATTAGAAACAGTCCAACCTAGTGGACCTACAGGTTTATCAGGAACACTCCAACCTAGTGGACCTAAACCGACAGGTCCAGCAGAAACCGTCCAACCTAGTGGATCTACAGATTCATCTGAAACAGTCCAACATAGTAGACCTAAAATTAAAGGTCCATCAGAAATAGTCCAACCTAGTGGACCTAAACATACAGGTCCATCAGAAACAGCCCAAACTAGTGGACTTACAACTCCATCAGGAACAGTCCAACATAGTAGACATAAAGGGGTCCATCAGGAACAGTCCAACCTAGTGGAATTTCAGGTCTATCAGAAACAGTCCAACCTAGTGGACCTAAACTTAGAGGTCAATCAGAAACAGTCCAACCTAGTGGACTTAGGATTACAGGTCCATCAGAAAAAGTCCAACTCAGTGGACTTAGGATTACAGGTCCATCAGAAACAGATTTAACCAGTGGACTAAGAATTGCAGGTCCATCAGAAACAGGTTTAACCAGTGGACTAAGAATTGCAGGTCCATCAGAAACAGGTTTAACCAGTGGACTAAGAATTGCAGGTCCATAAGAAACAGGTTTAACCAGTGGACTAAGAATTGCAGGTCCATCAGAAACAGGTTTAACCAGTGGACTAAGAATTGCAGGTCCATCAGAAACAGGTTTAACCAGTGGACTAAGAATTGCAGGTCCATCAGAAACAGATTTAAACAGTGGACTAAGAATTGCAGGTCCATCAGAAACAGATTTAAACAGTGGACTAAGAATTGCAGGTCCATCACAATGAACGTAAAAAAGGCTGAACTTTCTGGGCCCTCATTTTTTATGGTTAATCACGTGATCTCAGGGAAGGATTATGTCTGGTCCAATCAAAGGGTGTTATTGAAAGAATTAATTTTTTCGGTTAAAAAAATATTACAAAATAGCATAGTAGTAATTTGTCGAAATTTAAAAGAAAAGTTATTTGATAATATATTTATAAATAAACAAATAGATATTTAAAATCCCATGACACAATACACATATAGAAACTTAATCTAGAGTTTCAAATGTAAATCTTTCTCCTTTGAATGCATATTTGGTTTCAGATTATATATATTCTTCTTATACCTTCAGGTATTGTCTTTCACAGCCTGACACGGCGTAAGTGTTGGTAGGATTGTATAGTTGTTTGCACAGTTTGGGGGTTTGTAATTTTGTTTGGATGTTTGTAAGATTGCTTACAAAATTGCTTAAAAGATTGTTTTGGTGTAAGTTTGTTTTTCATAAGATGGTTTGGGTGTAAGATTGTTTGTTTGTAAGATTGGGTGTATGTAAGATTGTTTATTTGTAAGATTGTAAGATTTTAAGGTTTCCTTGTTTGAGATATTTGTGAGGTGAAGAGCAGGTTTAGAATTGTAATTCTAATAAATGGATATTCTATAATTTTTTGCCTAAAAAGTGTATTATGCTGAGCTATGGTGGACAACTTGTAATATTGTCAGTGTATAGCGCAAACGCTACGGTGGGAAAAGGATTTAAATGGGG